GGAATGGATGATTCACCTGCATCCAGGCTGTTTAAAATAAGACTAATAATCCACACTATTTTGGGAGCTGGGTCTTTAGTTGGCATAGCAGAGTATTTAGGCACTAGTTAGATACACAAGAAGTTTATCAAACCTTAAAGTATCATATTAAATATCCACACAAATATATGAAAGATTTGACTGGGTTCTACTTCTGTCCCTTTATTAGGTCAAAAGGTGAATGCAAGTGTGTCATAAGCCAATGTCCTGCAGCTTACTACACACCAAATCAAAAATATAGAAAATAAATGATAATCCTATCTACTTACATAAAAAGGTAACTTTTTGAGTAAGTTTCCAGACTTGCACAAAATATGCAGAAAACTGCATACAATCAGTTTCCACAAGAACAGCAGTTTCATGTGAAAGGTGGGTCAGCCTGCTAGCCAGATCTGCTTTACCAAAAGCTCTGGAAAACTGACACTGGAACACCAAGGGGCCTGTCCAGCTGACACTAAAAAGGCAAAATGTCCACTGCCATCAGGACAAAGCCCTGGAGAAAGCCTCTCTCTATCCCCACACCTCTGCGACAAGATATAGAAAAAACAGCTCTATTAGGGAGTAATGGTGACTTAAAGGATTGTAACATGTATCCAAAACTCAGTATGAGTGGATCAGGCAAGGCTGTTAAATCATAGTTCAGTGTTCTCATCTGCAGTGGTCCTTGTCCTGACTCAACCACAGCCCAACAGCTGACAGAGGAGTTGTGCTGTGGTCACCCACCTGATCTGCATCCTCTTCTCTCTCACTTCAAAGTACTTGCAGTACCTCAAGTTCTATTCTGCCCCACCTCATCCTTATCCTGGTCTTCTGCCACTCTGCCCATTACAGAGGACTCTGAAATGCAGATGAGAGGAATTACAATAACACAGCAGTGTAAACAGTGAGTAGGCCTGCCATATCTTTATTGCTGCAGGTTTGGCAAAGGGGCACTCTCCAGACTTGGGTGGAATTTGAGGCAAAAGAATAAAAATGGTTAAGGTAAAAAGTGATGAACAGCAAACTTGGAAAAAGCAGTCAACATATTTCAGGGCTCTTGGAAAAACCTGTATCTGGAAGGTACTGAAAAAATCTTGCACTTGCATGTTGGCCTTGGCCCCAACCCTGAAGTAATGAAGTATGTGATGGTCCCATCTGACCTCCTGGCATGAATAGAGTCATCTTCCTGCCCCTCAGAGGCTAAGGCTACTACACACAGCTACCATGACTTGTGGTTCAGTTCACAGAAGTTGCACAACTAGGGTCATTCCTTGTGCAATGTTTGATGAAGGTGAAGGTAAAGTGGTTTCTTGGTCAACAGTTGTAATTTCTTCCTTTTAAAGTCCGTGGGTTTTTTGTACCTGTAACCACAAGAAAGTGTGTTAATCCAAGAGCTAACAGCTGCACTGGAAGAAGAAAATATACTAGCAATCTTGTCCTGTACAGATCTTATTATTCTAACCTTTTAAATATATCTGACAAGGCTTACTGGAAGCAACAATAATGAGTAGATTTACATGAAGAAACTAAACCCAGTATTTTCTCTAGATTATTGCTTTAACAGAACAAAGATTTCAATATGTAAGAAAATGTAATATTTTTTTAAGGAGATTCCCAACATAATACCTTGGACTGTGGGAGACCCAGCATCAGTTACTCAGTACTTCAGAAGTACTCCAGCTAGCCTAGCCCAGCACTCTTCCTAGAGGTGCCTAGAATTGCAAGGTTCACCCTGTTCCTAGAACAAAACCCTCACTCAGACCTTCAGCCACACACAGGTTGGATGCACACCACAACCACTGCAGCATAACTGGCTGATCTGTTTGTTCACTTATTAGAGCAGCGGGGGGAAACAGAACCACCCAACAATGCTTTGAGAAATGTTCATAAAATGAATTGCAAATTGCTATCTCATGCCTCAAATCAGACTGCCTTTACAGAAGTTCCACACCAAAAGACTCTGAGTTGATTTCCTTTTTTAAACGTAACTGATCTGACACTCAAGCTAAGCTCCAAATTAAAATCTGATGTACAGACTATGATCAACAGCATTTTATCTGGAAATTATCTAGTTTCTGAGAAGAGTCTGTAGCCATTTTATTTGCCTAAACACATTTATTCTCCCTTCTTCATTAAAAGTAGAATATTCCTTACGGAAGTCAATCTAACGAGTCCAAGAAACCTTCCTTGATGCAACAAGTTACAACATTTTAACTGAAGCCTAGTTCATCTCCTCAGTCACTGGCATCCACAGCTGTGAGTCACTTACAGTTCTACAACAATTGTCCCAGGTTTAATCTCATCCATCTCCATGAAAGCAAAGCACTTGGTGCTAGTAAACCTTTTCTTAGGCTTGTAGTGTTTGAATTCAAAGAAAATAGCTGCACCTAGAGGGGAAAATGGTTTAATAGAAAAGTTAG